GGCCCTACAAGATAAGAAATAAAACAAGCACACTTCAACCTTCAGGACTGCAATCTCAATTTACACAAGATTTTCATTGATGTAAGCAAAGATAAGGTGAAACACAGCCTTCAGCACATTTCAATATCTACCAGTAGGTCTTACAATTCAGGGAGAGAGGTGTTGAAACTAAAACATGATCTACCCAGAAAAGAAAAGCCAAATCCACAAAATCTATTATTGACTCATGTCTCAGTAAAAGTGCTCCAAGATCATCTGCATCAATATGTGATTGGATCAGTCATTTTATTATTCTGAACACAGTGAAGATCTATAGGTCAGGCATAATAAGAATGTTTGCTTTATATTTTCCTGAGAGGTGAAACTTCTTAACTGAATCTTACACTTAATCATTTCCAAATCCCAGGCTATATCTGCTGATCCCTGTTTCGATTTAAAATAAAATTCATTTTCCGTTTTGCTGCATGACTTTTATTTCAGATTTGACTTAGAGATTTATGAACGTGATATAGCTTTTCTTGCTGAACACTTGAACAATTTCGGTCCCTGTGGTGACTTCCACATTGCCACAAGTGGGAAGAAACACTCACTACTGTAAAATAATATGACATCCCTACTTCAAAAGCCAAAACAAATTTTTGAAGGCTGAAATGTTCAGTTGCAGGAGGGATAAAAATCCAAGGGGATCAAGTCCTTGCAGGATTTTGAAACGTCAATTCCAGTTTTCAATTCATAGGTTCTTAACTGAGAAACAGAGAGAATCTGGGTGCACAATGAATCATTGTTGGTATGGAAATGGGGACACAGGGAGGCTATTTATTGAAACCACATTTTCTCCTGTCGCCAGTCACACTGAAATTTGATTTTGACTCAGAGTACAATGATTTCTCCTGGAGATAACTGTTCCACACTGCACTGCACAGTTTATCACAATGGGTAAATATATAGCAAATGGACCACAGGATTCTGAAGACAGAGTTGAGCACAGCACAGCATGACCCCTTGCAGCATGGCATCTCTACTGTGACACATCCTGGAGCAGTGCCTTAGGCAATGCTGACTACTTGCACACCCAAAATGCTTGGTACCTCAGCTTACAATGTCCTTCCCAGTGCAAGCAACAAATACAGCAGAGCTGATCTTTTCCACTCACCCTGGTACCCGAGTACAGGTTGAGCTACAAATTGATCTGGAGCAAAGGATCCAAATGTTCCAATTCAAACCACAATGCTGAGATCTCCCCTTTTGGTTGTTTGCTTAACCCTAGGGGTTTTGTTCAATGCCTATAAACACCCTGGTTTTTACAGAGCAAAATTTATTCAGTGTACAGTTCACACTGATTGTGACTTTTAATAACGTGGGATAAATACAGCCAGTGCACCTCAGGGGCCTATATAGTGTGCCATACCAAGATTCCCATGCAAGCACTCCACATCTCCAACCCTGCTAACCTTCCAGAGGAAAGTGTCCACAAAAAAGATGTATTGTAGTGTGTACATATAATATATATCCATTTAATACATATTGAACTGTAGAGGTTATGTAGGTATTTGGAGTACAACAAATGCAAATTACTTTGAGGACAAATTATTCTTCTAAAATGGGATTTGGTGCCTAATATCATAAGGCCAGTATGGTAAGGGGCAGGGTTTTTTGTTTGGTTGGTATTTTGTTTGTTTTGTTTAGATATTCAGTGTCTATAATCATGAAGGGAGTCAGAAGACTCAGATCTCTTTAAAACAAGACACTAGGAACCTATTCAAACATTAAGGCATTCCAGTGCTATTACAGATCTTACCTCTATACCCTTACACTTTTATCTTGGACACAGACATCTTAAAAAGTGATAGAAGGAACAAATTAAATGAGAACTGAAAATTATTCTCCAAAAATCCACTTAAGGAAGATTTTTCAAGTAGAAAAGGCAAATCTGTGGGATTCAGTTCTAAGTTTAGCTGGAAAATACACAATTTTCAGAATATCAGGTAGCTCAAAACAGTGAAATCAATGTTCAAATTAAAATAGGAGATGAAATTCCTAACGAGTAACTAAACTACATCTTCACAGATGAACAATTTGAAGGCTATGTATGTTGGAGATAGGTGTACATCAGTTTTCAGATATTGTACCTTATAAGAAAATAAAATGGGACATTAATCACTAATTCTCTGATTAATATAATGTGGTCACATTTTAATAAGCCCATTGAAAATGCTACCTCCTTTACAGTTCTGCTTTGCAAAGCACATCCCAAATAATTAATTTCAAGCAACTTATTTTATTCTACCAGTATCTTCCTGACTATCTAGCATTGCTCATATACTCAATTTCCGGAGCATTTCACTTCAAAATGAGATGAACAGAAGTGTGACTCATGTACACCTAGGAGCACTGAACCATTTGGCACTTCCTTTATCACAAAGCAAAATCAATGTACTGAAAACCACTCTTGTATTACTGCACCCGGTTCACAGTATTAGCAAATTCTTTTTCCCACAAAACAAAAGTAACAAAAATAGCATAATAGAAAGTTGCATTTATTTAATGGTTAACATCTTCAAATATTCTACAACCTTTAATCTTTACCAAATCTTTTAGTTAGAAGGTGAATACTTCCAGCACTTAGTGTAAAATTGAAGAAAATAGCCCCATCAATCTCACATACATGTATGTCTCCACAACTTTAAAAGTATTTCCTTCATTTTATATGTGACAAAGGAATTTTACCACAAGGCACTGAGACATGAGTTCTAGAATTCAACACATTTCAGATTAGAAACCAAGACAGTCTGGGCTCTTGGTTTAAAATGGAGATAAATTGGCCAGTCCAGAAGACAGTTCACATTTCCAGTTAACTGAGAAAATTAAATCATCCTCTGCTAATTTTAGCACTAATTTATGGTAACAAGAATACTTAGGTTAAGTGTTTTAAGATCAGAGTGGATGAATCAAAGTCAAATCACAACATGTTTTTCAGAAGAGGAAAAGATGGTTCAACATCTTTCAAGGCCTAGCCTAGCCCACTCCACCTGCAAAGGTGGACTTTACAAAAGCATCACAGAAAGTGATCGTTTATACTTTATTTGACAACCTCACCCAGCATGACTGAATTATTCACTAAAGCACACAAAGCAAAAGACTCTTGCAATCAGGACTGGACTGCTGAGCAGCCTTCCCCTCACAGCTTGCCTAGCCTTCGGACACCAAAGAAATGTTGATCCAGAGCTCTGAAAATAAAGGGACTCCTTTCACATACCACTCTATTTTGCAAAGTCTTCTGATTCCTCTTCAGGATATATTTGAACATGGACAATGGTAACAACAATAACAATTCAACCCATCCATCTTTTTGGCAGTAATTGCCATGCAATGAATGCAGGCACTCAGATTTGACTGCGTCAGATGAAACTATCCTGATATTTCCCTCACTTGCTGTGACTGCAACTCAAAAATTTTAAGATACAATAATGAGCAGGGTAGGACCAGCAACGATGATACAAAAATGGTAAAGATAACATCTATGTAAAAGCTTAGATATGAGAAAACAGGGACAATCTTTTTAACGCATGAGATAAGTACAGAAAATCTCGGGGGACAGAGCAGCCACAGAGGATCAGATGCTGTTCTCAATTACATGGATATAAATCTGAGATAAGTGCCACTGCCATCAATTTCAAACACACATGTTTAACTGAGATCAAAATCTGGCTAGTGTCTCAACTAGATCTGACCTGATATTCTGTCTGCACTATCCCAAGAAATTTGAATGAACAGGTGTTTCAGGCAGGCATTCTTGACTTTACTTAACAAGTATGTGTCACACGGAAGTTCAGGAAAAACAAAAAGAATGAAAATTATGTAAACAACAGTAATCAAACCCCATAAAAATCCAAAGACTTTTTAACAGTGTATGAATAAGCTCTCTTACTTGAAGGGGCTAATCAGTGTAGGATAGCAATGATTATTCCAAACCTTAATTTTTAGCTCCTAGCAGTGCATAGCGAAGAAAACAGAACTTGAAATTAATTTTTAAAGATTATCACCAAAGGCACCTCATAAATACAAAGAAAGTGCAAACTCTACAGAAGTTGTAGTTCTGCTGCTAATGCTGTGGTTCCTGAGGTTGCCTCATTATTTTACTCTTATACAGTACAAAAATATTAAGCATCATTATCAAAGATATTTGTACCAAAGTTGGGTTTTAAGCAAAGGGAACCAAAATCTTACAGAAACATTTCCTAAGGACAGGATACAGATGTATTTACAGTTGTAATTTGAGTAGTGTAATATCACACTCAGTGTGCCTTTCAATAAAAAGATTTTGAGAGAGTCTGAAGACAAACCACAAAACCAAACCTGGATCCAGATCCAGATAATGAGGCAGCAAATAGGATTTTCTGGGCACTATTTGCATTTCAGTGTTATTGCAGCTGCTACTACTATGATAACACAGAGGTTTGTCTGAAAGATTATGAACAGCTCACTTGATGACTCTTCTGCATATTATCAGATAACACAAGTAAATAAACATAGAGCTTAACACATTTTTAGGTCCCAGAAGCACAAATGCAAAGCCTAGCACACCTGAACACTTCATCCAGGGACTGTCCCTTTCCTTACAAGTTTGTACTATGCATGGCACAAAGAGGACCTGTGGCTCTTAGATCATAACACAACTGCTCAGTAAAAGCAAGGACCATGAAGCAGACCCACATCGAGATAAAGCACTTGTTAAGCAGTGGGATTTTGTATTTTATGCAGCTTTGTTTCTAGTTCCTCTGTTAAGTGTAAGATGAGTTTCGTGCTTAAAACAGCAATTCCAGATCTTTGCAATGCATCAAGACATTCTTTTGTCTAGTTTTAAAGCACTTGTGCTGAGTATCTCTGAATATAAAGTGGATACTCTGATATTACAAAGTAACAGGTACTCAGAAAGAAAATTAGTTTGAAAATAGTTCCTTTTAGACCATAAAGAAAATATCTTACATAGTTTGTATTTACCTTAAATGAACCAAGGATTTCAGTTCTACTTGACATGTATCAAAACCAGTTCCAGTGTATTAGATTGGCGTTTAAATAGGCAGGCTTCTGACAACCTAAGAAAAGAAAATTGATTTAAAAATCACCAAGTTATTTAACTCATATGATCGTCTCAACAATCATAGTGGTTGTACTTTAACACATAGTTTCTTGTACTTTAGTTTTCAGTGCACAAAAGGTAAACCTGGGCCAAAATTTTAGAAAATGCATGTTTTAATAAGTCAGAATTTGGGCAGTTCTCCATTAAAAGAACACAGATATAACTGTTGGAACAGGGACATACTGAAGATTTGTTTTTGATACCGATTAATATGCTATCAGTGCTACTTAATTTCTTTCACAGTTAAGATCCTTTTAGTTTATATTCTCTAAAGTAATTTGAATCACACCTTTCATTTACTATGGTTTTGTACAAGTGCTTTTTTACCCCATCAGTCTCAGGGAATTTTAGCCAAAGGTATCTTACTGTCTCCTACTCATCATTACCTTGGGGTGGGATAGCTGTTTCTTCCCACTGAGACTAAATATGAAAACATGTCCATGTTGAAAAAGGGTCAACACTTTGCAAGTCTCTTCTAAGTAGATAATTATATTCCTCCTTCCAAAAAGCTTTCAGTTTTGAAGGCGGGCAGCAAAATTAATCATTAATCATAAATATTTCTTTACTTAAGCTATTCTTTTCAGCAGGTCTAATCTGAAGGGATGGTAGGAAGCCAAGTGTAACAGGGGATGCACAAGTGTGCCAGGAAACATATGAGAGAGCAGGTGAAGCAAAGGAAATCCTTCACACATTCCAGCATCCTTACCTTCATCTCATGAGAAAAAAGCAAATATAGCTTAATTGTGGGGGTTTTATGTTTGTTATGTACAACTCTTGAACAGCAGAAAACAGACAACAGAGTAAATTTCAGACAAATCCATTCCAGTTGCAGATTATTAGATACATCACAGGTTAGCATTTTCCTTATTTTGCATTGATTATTGTAATATTCTTCACTTAAAAATCAAAATCACAGAAAAACAGATGAATTTCAATTGGGGTTTTGTTGTTGGTTTGTTTTTGTTTTTTTTTTTAATCTGCATGTAAGAGGTCCATAGGAGACACACTTAATTCAGGAAACAACAGGACAATAAATAAAGCACTTGTTTTTTTCTGGTGGACAAAAAACCCCCAAACAAATAAAAGAGGCAAAAATGGATATATTCACCATAACCATGCAGGAGAGATTAAAACAGTCCCTATGGCCTCCTTTCCCACTTTCTCTGTCACTGAAAATAAACAACTTTTACTTCTGCCACAATCTCTCACTTACTGCTTAGCCATTCAGTGGAAAAAAAACCACACAAGAATTTCAATCGAAATACCTGTTTGAGATTTGTGGGCAATGGAACAGCAGAGTTTGCACACATTTCTGAGTCTCTGAGGTACTGATTCTTATACTGATTAATCCATAAAACTTGAATGAATCAACATTTCTCCAGTTCTAGGTGGCACCAGCTAACATTGTAAAAGCGACATTAGAAACCAGGAAAGATCTAATAAGCAACAGTTCATGTGGAATTCACCTGTGAGGTCCTTACCCCAGTCAGCCAGCTGATTTGAAAATTCTGCTTGCAGATATGTAGAGCAAATTCTGTGTCATGAGTGCCCGGTAACTTCTTTTAATTATATCATTTAAAAAATGTCCAAAACAGGAGGGAATAAAATATTTCTATTTCAAACATTTTCATTACAACTTGTTTCTAATTATAGTGCATGTTCTGTTATGGAAAAAAATATTGGACTGTTATGGACTAAAATATTAAGTCATGATCAGAAAAAAACCCTTAGTTTAGGGACACACCGTCATCTACTCTTCCTTGGTTATTTAAGCTCTCTCTGCTCATTATAGGGAAGACAGGGACCTCATTTGGAGAGAGTTTATTCATTATCATATCATAAAACAGAGCCCCTTCCACTATACCAGCAAATGTTTGAGTTTCCTTTAGTGACTCTCTCCCTCAGTAAGCTGAACTTCTGCTTCTGTGCTCTTACCTTGTGCTTCTGAGCAGTCAGTCATGACTACATCCAACAGCTGCATCGTAAGGGTTGTCTATGTAACTTATTACAAACAAAACACACAAAACAGGGCAGTCTCCACAGTTTCAGTTAGGGACAGGGCTCATGTTCAATTCCAATGGATAAACCAACAAAACTATCTTTAAGAATTTGGAAGATATTTACAAATGGAAAAAATGGGGAAATAAATGTTTTAGATCAAACCAAATATATATCTTTACATCTACCAAGCCAAAATGTCACATGCAGAAAAAGAAGAAAAAAAAAAAAATGGGGTTAACAGTTTGAAGGTTTGGAAAGGGAAAGCTTAGGGAAGAAAGTGTGGAAACAAAATCTTCAAAACCACACTATCTATCCACTCACGGCTTCAGTAAGAGCCTGAGGAATGAGATGCTGGAAAGCAGTGCCATAGAAAGGAACCTGGAGGCCCTGGTTGATGACAACTGGAATATGAGTCAGCAGTGCCCTGGCAGCCAGGAGGGCCAACTGTGTCCTGGGGGCATCAAGCAAAGCATCACCAGCTGGTCAAGGGAGGGGAGTGTCCTGCACTGCTCTGCTCTGATGTGACCTCACCTTGAATATTGTGTGAGTTGTGGGAAGCACAGTATAAGAAAGATATTAAGCCATTAGAGAGTGTCCAAAGGAGGGAAATTAAGATGGGGAAGGACCTTGAAGGGAAGCCATGAGGAGTGGCTGAGGTCACATGGTGTGTTCAGCCTGGAGAAGAAGAGACTGAGGGGAGACATCATTGCAGTCTACAACTTCCTTGTGAAGGGAAGAGGAGAGACAGGCACTGATCTCTACTCTATAGTGACTGGTGAGAGTACCCAAGGGAATGGTCTGAAGTTGTGTCAAGGGATGTTTGGGTTGGATATTAGGAAAAGGTTCTTCACCCAGAGAGAGATTGGGCATTGGAACAGGCTCCCCAGGGAAGTCGTCACAGCACCAAGCCTGTTGGAGTTCAAGAGGAGTTGGAGGATACTATGAGACACATGATGTGACTCTTGGTGGATGGTCCTGTGCAAGACTAAGGCTTGGACTAGATGATCTTTGTGGATCCCTTCCTACTCAGCATATTCTGTGATTCTGTGCCATTCTCCAACTTTCTGTCTGGAGGAGATGATACACTTGCTCATATATAAGCATCTAGTACCTTTCAGATGCTTTAGGGCTTTTAGCTTGGCCTTTGGTTGACATTTTAGAAGAGCATGGGTCTCCTGTTGGTCTTGTGTCATATTTCCTAGTTCTGCACAGATGCCTTGGACACCCTGAGGGAATCTTATATTGCCCCAGACACTTCCCCATAGACAAAGAATTTCAACCAGCATGTCAGATCCTTCAGTGTCATTAGATAGTCTGATTCTGTGCCTGTGTATCAAAGTAACCAAAATGGGTCTAAATAATCTGCCTTTGGAAGCCAAGAACTGTGAACCTCTCAAAAGCTTAACTGTTCTTTTAGCGACTGGAATAACTGAAATGTTCTTACTCCTAGTGCAGATTTTTTTGACTGAAAACCATAAAAACTATTACTCATTGCCTTAGGCAAGTCTACGTCTTTTTAAGTCTTCATATGAGCCTTCAAATTCTCGAAATACAGCAAAAAGATTCAAGCACCTTCTTGCTCAATTGAAACAAGGATTTTTTCTACAGATTTTTTATTTCAATAAGTCCAGTGAGAAGCCAGTTTAGAAAATAAATATTGATCCATGCTATACAAGTTCACAATAGTCACAAATTAACAATTTTATTAGGGAAGTAGAGTTGGATTTTAATGTATGAAAGTGCTGAGAAGATTTTCAAATAGAAATCCTAAAATTTTAATATCTTACTAGTGGAAAACATAATGCATTGTCAACTTACCAAAAAATAGGCTGATTCACTCAATAATTAATTTTGTAATATGAAACTTTTTCTTCCTAATACCATTTAAAAAAATAAAGAAAATAGAAAACTGACCTAGTCATCTGCTGGCATTTTCTTGTTGATACTAATCCAGGATACCACTACACAGCCACCTGAAAGACAATAGGAGAAAACACATCACTTTTTCTGTACTTCTGCATAGTGTTCCTCTTCAGCAAGGACTCTAGGGCTTTTTGAAGAGTTTTCCCCAGTGAAGGGGGTCAGCCCTGGCAGAAACAGCACAACAGCTTTCAACATGCTTAGCCTTGTGCACCCCTTTTTAACTTCTGAATTTACTTCATTATCACAAAATTCCCTAGTAACTGTCAACAGACCATTGTTTCTATGGCATACCTTAAAAAGATTGTCTTGATTTTGATCAGCCTCTCACCTTCAACTGAATATTGACTCTGTTCAGATTTGGAAAATAATGAGCACAGAATCACAGAGCTATCATTGAGGTAGGTATAGATTCTATTCTTTTTATTTTCAGTATACTTAACACTAATGAAGGATGCTGGAAGAGTATCTAAGAGTGCAGAAATCTTATCCTGTTAAAAACTGTACACCAGAAAAACAAGACCATTTTAAATTCTGAAAATCAGTTTGACATATTGGATGAAATTGCAATGGTTCTGCTATGTTGTATTTTTTTCTGCCTATGCATTTTGAGACAAATAAATAAAAGCTACAAAATCAGTGGCAAGGATGGAATAAAAGAATGCACTTAGCAGGGACAAAAAAATCTCAAATAAGAGTATAACTTCTTAAAAGTTAGGGTCCCCATGTTTCTGTGACACTTTTTCATTTAGAAAATATGAAAACTAGATGATAAAAATAAATTGCATAAATTTTGTTCCTTTAAAGGCAGTAACTAAACAGCACACACTGCCTGAGTCCTCCCTTTGCTTACTGAAAATAATGGTTAGAAAATTATATGTTTACTAATTAGGAAGCAACAACAGCTTCACATAAGATATTAGAGAGATAACTGAAAGGTCTATGACAGCCTAAGCTTCACATTTAAATATTGCTGTTAAATGCTTTGTGTCTAATATACCACATAATTAGAGTATAAAAAAATTCCTACTAACAAAACAAGTGACAGGTGTGCACTACTAAAGAGGTATTCGGGGTTAAATTATATGAAATGGAGAGAAGGCATTGCAAATGCACAAGTGGACTCTGCTGGTCATAGCTGCCAGTTATGAGACTGCAGAGAAATGTAGAGTTGTCTGACAGAGACTGCAGAGAATTGCTTATTTTGCTCAATAAACCATTTTATATGCATGGTATCACACAGTACAGAGTATGCATTCATCAACCAACAAACTCCTAGCTCTCACAAAACAATTTAACAGGATGCTGCCAACTTGAAATACTGAGAATATGAAGCCTTGCCCCTCTGCAACCCCCCTCCAAAAAGAAAAGAACCTACCAAACCCATGATTTAGTTCTGCCATTTTTTTTTCTGATTTTGTAATCATATTTTCCAACCAAAGAAAAAATTTTCCTTTCTGTGGCTGTGTGAAAGATAACCCACGGAAAACTGGCTGCATTAGTAAAGGGCAAACTAGATAGAATTAGCCTCTTTTATTTTACACTTGTTACTTGTAACAGAAAGCTTACTATTTGTAGAAAATACACCTTGGTATTTAGAAAGAAGAGTGACTTTTTCCTGTGTATAGCTGTTCTTTAAACAACCTGGTCTGTAGACCCAGCTGGCAGAAGCATGCACAGAGTTGCCAAACTCTAAACCACAATAAAATTATCAGTAATGCAATCAGTTTAGGTGTCATTACTTCCAATGGCACTAGCAAAATTACTCTAAAAGGATGTAAATTTTTTTTTAGTAAGATTTGTTAACCAAACTTCACAACTTCATTGTAGCAAGCAGTGGTTGGAGTACATAGAACAAGCTGCCTTGGTGCTTAGCCTGAGCAAAATAAAAAACATACCTACTTCATGAATTTCAAATGCCCCATAGGAACTAAATGCAAGTGAGCACTGACATTTCAGGTAATTGCATTTTCTATATAAGGAACCTTTAAAATTTACCAACCAAATCTCCATGAGCAGAATCTATAGGGTTTTATAAAAATTTCTTGCTTATCTCTCTTTCATACAAGGTTTGCAAATCTAGAAAGGAAAGAAAGAAGAACCTTGGCATGCCATTTCCTCACTACATGACAAACTATAGTAATTATAAATAAAATAATATAAATACCAAGTATTTCACATAAAAATTAACAGAACTGTACACATACATTCCTGGTTCAATGCACAGATAAATCCAGGTAGTTACCAAAATATTTTTTGATTTTTTTTTTAGGTTCCTTTTAGTAATGGTAGGAAATGAAATTGAAACAATACCACCAAATTTCCATTATTATTCAATTAGCCTAAAAATAGTCACATGTTTGGGACAAAAATTTCAAGGTTACAATGAAATAATTTATTTCTTTCAGTATATTAAAAATACTCCAAGTTAGTTATTCTGAGATATTACAGCTGAAAACCATGTAAAAGGCAATTTTGGTTTTGTAAGAACTATTTTTGGGTTGAGTTATGCTCTTAACAACCATTTTGTAACTTTCTTTCTTACTAGTATTACCATTTTATTGGCCATTTTTTGCTGTGATCCACAAAATTTGAATCACCTCAGAATCATATTTCACACTAAGCTAATTTGGAATATATCTTAAAAATTTCATAGATGTGAGCAGCACTCAGGTGCAGACATTTTAATAGGTGTTCTCAAACTTTCCACCGGCCAGCCATCAGGTTAGCCACTCCATCACTAACCACCCCCCCCTTCAACTTTACCCTTCTCACAAGAATCTAGTGACGTCTATGAAAGCATTGCAATCATGAATTTGGACAAAGCTAACATTAGAATGTGTTGTATGTGTGTGTGTGCGTATTAATGACACTATGAAAGAATTAGAAATACTGTACAGAGTCATCAGGGCAGGGGAGAGGTTGCAGCCCCACAGTTGCTATCAGGACCCTGGTGTTCAATTGCTAAAAAGAATAATTTGAACAAGCTGACTACCCCTGAGATGCTGACCCTTCTCCCAGCTTCTCTCTCCCCTCTAGGACAGCTCTCTCCTCCTGCTTCCAAGATGAAGACTGCAGAAGATATAACCACTACAAATAAAGAGCATAAACACTACAATTTTTCCTAACAGTTTTGATCACAGACTTAAGAGTATGCATTCTGTAAATATGAAATTATCAGTTTAGCTTTCTCAACCTTAGAAGCAGTCATCCTTCGCAAAAACATCTTCATATGTTTATTCTTATGGATAGAGCAATTGACATTACTATGTGATCTTCTCTAAAATTGCCTAAACATACAAATCAGATTGCATGAGAAAACATATATTTTACTGACACCTTTAGGACACCTGAAAATTAAGTTATTGATCATTCTATTAATCTTTGGTTTACTGTAATTTAAAAGCATAATTTATTATTTTCTTCATACAGTATCTTTGGGCAGAACATATATTTGGTTAAGTCTAGCTAAACATTACTTCAAAGAGAAAATGGGAACCACAGTTAAGAAGTATCCTTACAATTCATGAGATAATGAACAATAATATAATACTTCTCTGTTTACCAGACATGTCAAAACTGTCACCTGTACACTTGTTATCATAATTCAATGAGAAAAACAGTGCACCAGTCTCTCACATTTAATGGTTAAATGAGTTCTTCATGGTTTTACACCTCATATTCATCTTAAGAATATCACTACAATGAAACTCTGAAGATGAAGGAGAGTGGGACAATTAACATGCAAGAGGTTTATCTGCTTTGTATCAAGTAACTGTAAACTCTAACTTATTTATCTTATTAGGATAAAAGAATGGAACCTTTACTTAGACAGAAAATCCTTCAATTTCTGAATCTGGTAGTCAGAGCACCATCTGGTCTTTGTTCTTCTCTGAGTTTCTTTATTGAGCTTTCCCCATGCTCCTTAGAAACTTCACAGATGTAGGTTTTCTCCAGTTCCCAGCCCTCTGTCTCTAGGGGGACCTAAAATGTCCATCATTATGATCATTCTCATCTGCACTAATCTGGCGGAGAGCAATGAGGGAAGATTACTCAGGAGAGATCTGTGTTGAATGTTACATGATTTCCTATCACCTGCTTTCTGACAAACTTCTTGTTTGCCAGGCATTTGTCAGATATTCTGTACTTATTGTCACAAGGGACATCCATCCTAACTCAGTTCTTTAGAAAAATTTAGAAGGAAACTTATGCCTGACATTTATTTATACATAACACTAACATTTATGCTCTACCATTACTATATTTTTTCATGTTGCTTTCTATTAAATCAACATTACAAAGTGCAGAGTTAGTTTTTTTAACCCAATTTACTTTATATGCTTTTCCCCTAAATTGAATATATGTGACTGCTGACAATTTTCAGAATGGAAGTAAAGATTATACAATATAATTCATACTGCAGCAGCAAGTGCTAAAATCTGAAGATAAGCTATCCCTTCACCTTGTGATTTGTGAAAACACTACATCATTTCAGACATATATTATGTCATCATCACATTGTTTCTTGCACAGAGTCTGTGTTATCATCATTCTAACCAGATTTAGCAAACAGAAAAATCTTTGGGTAATCTGATTTCATTCCCCAACACCAGAAACACATTAATAAAAACATCTGTCAAATCAGAATGCTCAGGCAAAATTAAAATAAAAAGTCCTCAAGTTTCTACTGAAATAATATATTATGCTTACTACTGGGGCAGAAAGAGAATTTAACCTATACCTAGCACTTTTGTAAACAACTATTGCAGGCGGTCATTTTATGCTTAAAAACATCTTAGGATATTGTCCTATGTTGTAATTTCTCCAACGCCAAAGCAATTTTAAGAAAACACCTGCTCTCTCCAGGTTGGAGGCATGCACCTGCCGTTATGCAGTAAGACAACTTAATGGTAGGGGTGGTTTGCTGGTGTTTAAGTCAGACTGCTCTGGAGCGTGACTCCACACAGAATCACAGTGGCATGATTAAGAGACCGTCAGACTGAGGCAAGCAAGAAGGTGTTTGATTTGGAACACCTTCACCCCTGGAGAAGTCTGGTTAGGGGCTGCACCATTTGTCAGTGAGAAACAGTCCTTCAGGGACCTGCTGACTACAGAATACTAGGGGAGCATATAAATTCCAGGTGGTGTTTTCAAAGGAGGTGTGTATGGGAGTCTGGGTACGAAGGGCAGTGAAAGCCGGACACGCAACACCAAGCTACTCTGGAAATCCCAGCACTAGAGAGAAATATCTGCCCAGTTCTTATTTGGGTACCTTGAGATTGCATTTATCTCATTCACTGAACCAGGTATTAAAAAAAATGAAAGAAATCATAGAGAGTGCATAATGAGAACAAGAGAAGAGGACTGAGTCAGCCTGAGACAGATGCAGGCAGAGGGGAGGCAGGACGGGACTGCATAGCGGTAAGACTGAGTCACAGCTACTGCCAGTGAAGAAGAGGAGAAGGAGGAAGGGGGAAAAACAAGCTTCAATTCCTTCTCAGTAAGCTTTGGCAATCTTTCTGCAACACAGAAATACCCAAACTAATTTTTAAATGATCAGTCTAACTTGCCATCACTATGCTCAGTAAGGACTAATTATCCTGTTTCTCAGCCCCTATGATAGTAGACATACCTGAAAGGCATGAATACACACAATTTTAAATATATTTTATAAAGTATGAGCTACGGCATGACTTAAATAAAGCTTGACAGACTTATAAATCACATGACCAGGAGCTTATAGGCCAACATCCTGCACATGCAGTTATCACAACCAGTTAGTGAGGAAAAATATCACTGGTGTAAAACAGTTACATTTTTTAATAGCAATTTAAAGCTCTGGATGGATTCCAGAGCTTTCCTGTTGTGTTTTGTTTGGGGGGGGGTGGTGTTTTTTTGGGTTTGTTGTGGGTTTTTGTCAGCTGGATTCTTTGTAACTATAGAGGGAAAATATTGCTAAGTAACCTGACTCTCACTCCAGACTCCTACCTAGACTCTCATCCTGACTTTAGAATGGCAGTTTCAAGACTCAGAATAGAATATAAATGTTTAAGGAGAATGTAAGGATTTTATTTTCCTTTCCATAAGAATGCTTCTGGTAATTTATTCATTGGAGAATTTCCTTACAAATAACCAGACATAGAACAGCTAGATACCCAGGGTAGTAGCTAGGCAGTTAACATGCACAGATGCTTTTGAAGAAACACTACTAAGCAATTCAGATTGTGAAATCAAAATGCAATTTTCACTTGAGACACTCTTTGCAAAGCTGCTTCTTTGTTAGCTACTAGTGGGAAGATAGGACGACAAACGTGGTTTATGTGTTAGAGCTGTTCCCTTTCACAAACCCAGAAGGGACCTATTGGTGTCTCTGCTGTAACAAAAAGCAGGATATATACAGCAAGGCAATAACCAGCAACAGCAAATCTTTTGGCTCTCTTGGTGTGCTGTAGGGACTGATCTCTAGTAAGCTCACATAACACAGACAAAATACAGGTGGATGAACTTGGGAATGCTACCATTATTTGCTTATCACACATTATGGAATATCTATTTTGGTCTCATATTAAGGTGATAGACTGTAAAGTGGAGGATTATGTTTACAATTGCACTATTTCACCAATAATGTTTTCAGTATATAATAAACAGAAAAAAAAAATATGACAAGACTGTTCTTACAAGAGCACTGATTTTGAATTGGAACTAGAGGCTATACCTGAGGTCCTGGTTTAGATTAAACAGGTGTCAAAATCTAACAACTTCATCTGAGATCTCCTAAGATCTGCTTCACTTGGATTAATGTTGAAGAATGAATATTATTTTAAGGAAAGTTGAATGAAGGTTTTTTTCTAGTTAGATGGAAAATATGAATATATTTTGTCTGGAAAAAATACAAAGCTAATGCCATGTTCCTCAAAACCCCAAAACATTTTGCATTTATTTAATTAAGAAATAATTCCTTTATTTTAAATAAAAACAATAAATTAAAGAATAAAATAAAACAAAAAATCACATTTGTCAGTCTGAGAAGTACCAAAAAAGAGGTAACACAAATTTGATATTACTCATGCACCTAGGCCTTGATAATAAAGAAGGAGCAGCAACCAACAAAGGAATGAAGGCTCAGGAACACAGGTCTCCTGTAGAATCATCTGAATTATTCATCTCTGAAAGTTTATCAAAGCATGAAACTACTGACCATCAGTCTTCAGTTTTGCTGAATTCTCAGATAAAAAAAATACCTCTTGATGCAAGCATTAAGAACCCAATAGCTGACACAAAACATCAACATGCAGACTCAAATTTATGTAAAAAAATCTTAACCTAGTTTTAAGTAGACAGTTGCATTCCATATCAGTTTACATTTTGAAATATATTTTTGTCCTTTACTGGAACAAAACCAGAGTATTCAAATATTATTGCAACATGTCCCAGTGTCTTTAGTCCAAATAGAAGCATTCAGATTTGGGGCTGGTTTGGTTTTAACTGGTATTTCAGTTTCCTCCTACTCTCTTTTCTTTCTTCTGGTCAAAAGTAACAAAAAGAACTTTGAAATCTCAAAAATACTCAAATGTTATCTGAATTTTTGAGAATTATCAGAATTAACCCATAGCCCTGAAACAGCATATTTTGAAGACAATATATGTAATTTAAACCTTTTTAACCAGCTTTCCAGTATCTTTATTTTTCACTAGTATCTACCTGTTGATGTGCACCTAAGGGCCTACGAGGAAAGATCAAAATAAAAAAATGCAATGTTAGATTAAAGTAGCATTGACAAACATTTTATCAACTTTGGTTGACAATCCCACTGAACAGAAAGGGATTTTTGAGAGGGTTCTCATTTAAATACTTCTTATGAGACAATGTTATTGTACAGGGGTTTTTTCTTCTTTCAAATCAATTCACCGGTGTTAAAAGAATATAATAATTCAGTAACAATTGCTATATAGTAATTGTTTACCACTTACTAAGCCAAGGGACAACTCATTTAATAAACCTACCTCTGAAAACTGCTTCTCATGTGAGACTGTCAGAATCTTCCAATGTTCATAATTGCAGTGTGGTGGGGTAGTGCTGGGCTGAAAGCAGAAGACAAAGACATATTACATAATATGCATTTATTCCCAGTGCATACTTTTAAATGTATAGCTGGATTTAACACTATGATAATCTCATTCTTATTAATGTAACAATCCCAGTTGCAGTACCTCAATTTATGATCCTCATTCATTCACATCCATCAAGCTGCTGTCTTTGATTGTCACAGTGTTTTCTCAAAGGAAAGTATTCAGAATAATTTTACATTTTAATACCCAAGTATATTGTATTGGAAACCTCCACCAAATATACAATTTGCTTCTCAGTCAGTTTAAAATTGTTTGCTCACTCCACATTTTACATTGTTTGGCACAATTCACAAAACATTTTTATTGAAATATTCAACTCTCAAGCAATTGAGACCCCCCATGTTTCTAACGCTATCCTTTTCCTGACGAGCTATTAGAGGTATATGTTAGTCCTAGCCATGCAAAACATAGATTTAAAAGTGTCGTCTGTTTAAATAAAAAACTCATTTGCATTTTTACCCAAAATAGGAAACTAATGATATTCAGAAGGATGTGTGTTTTGATGATAGCAAAAACAGTTTTTTAAACATATTTCTGTTGATCATTGTGGAACCCATACAGCTAAAAAGTGTGTTTCTTACTCTTAACCCACAGTATCAAAGCTGGTAACGTATGCTCCAATTTGTAAAGCATTTAAGGACATGCTTTCCTTTGTGTATGCACAAAAAGCACTTTCCTAGGTTGGAATTAAGGACATTCATAAAAGTGAAAACATTCCCCAGATGAGATGTGGCTACACTGCTAAAATGCAGCCAACACAAGCACATGCGGAAAGTAATTGATTTAAACACATTGTTAAATCAGAGCCTGAATTACAATTGCTGAGCCAATTTCCATCTCGTCAGCTTTACAATTAATACTGTCAGGCAGCAAGGACTTACTACAGGGTCTGTGATCCCTTTATTAGCAGCATTTACTGTGGTTCATTACTCATGCTCAAGGATAAAAGCAGTCATGAACAGAATATCGCATGTACCATCATTGCACTGAGCCAAATATAGAATCGTAGAACCACAGAATAGTTTGTGTTGTAAGGGACCTTCCAAGCCCCCTTTTGTGGTCAGGGATGCCATTCACTAGACCAAGTTCTGTACAAACACCTTGAAAGCAATTTGTGCTAGTGTGCAGCCACGTCAGCATACAAAAGACGCAGAAATGTAAAGAAGACCTTTGAAGCCATTGATTTCCAAAAAGAAAAAGGAAGATATACTGTGGACCCACCAGTGTTACTACTGTCACATTCCCAGCACACGTCACAGAGTACATCTGTTTGCACTTCCAGGACTGAACTGATTTGCAACCATGTATATCTTATCACAATACAGTGTTCAGGATTTCAAGATATATTCAAAATGGTTTGAAAACACAGTAAAGCTCAGACTGTAATTAAGCAAGCCTTTCTTTGCAGACAATGAAACAGGCGGTGCAGTGGATGTCAAGAAATAATGTCTCTCTGCCACCTAGAGGCAATCCAGACACTCCCTGTTTTATCCTCGTATAAAACCTTTCCTGGTTCTCCTGCTTAAAATGCAGATATCCTGTACTGAGTTACAAGGATAGAGTAGATTAATCTCAAGTTTGTTAAGCATGCAATGAAGTAAATCAACACTTTATGGAAAATGGATATCAGTTAACAGTCAGATAAATATCCAGGTCCTTGTACTACCAAGAAAATTGTAACTAAGCCCAAAGGCTGTGACATCCTGCAATACAGGGATCTCTTTCAGAGGCAATAAAAATGTAATTATGTATATTTTATTACCTAAATGGAAAAACTTGATTAAAAAGCATCAGCAGCGAAAGTACTTCTACAACGTAAAGTTGGACAGTACAAAACCAGTAATACAGCTCTCATCTTTTAGTTTTAAAAAAAGGAACACATAGTATTTCAAAGAAGTCTCCAGAACTTTGTTTTCGCTATTGTTCCACTAAAATGTTTACTGGCTTCTTGAGTGTTGAAAAGTTGCACTGAGAAAATAATTTAAAACCAGAGTCTTTGGACTAAAGACCCTGGGATTTGCTATGAAGTAAATCCAGACATGTTTAAGTAAAAGTCACTGTCTTTGTTTACTTCTATAATTTTTATTGGTATTATCATTTTAGCTGAAATTTTCCATGTTGGGTGTCTACACAGACTGATGGACTTGGAGGAGTTTTGTTTTTAATATTCAACAATCCTGTTTATATGTAGTTAAATAAACAATTTTAAACAAACTTGAGAGAGTTTGGGGGGTGGGAGAAAAGTCCACCTAAAAACTATCAGTTTGGCTGCTGCACTAATAAATTCTAGTGCTTCTTAAACTTCAAAGGGGAGTCATTACTCACTGCTGTCTACCATTTGAAAGACTTGAATTCATCCGTACCTGGTGGGGTTCTACAACCATGAAATAAACTGTCACTTGCATGTGTCCAGCAGAGATTTTCAAAAAGCTTATTAGTTAAGTTCTCTAAAGAGTCTGTCTATCGTGAGAATGATCCTCAAAGCTCCTAGAAACCAAAAATAAAGGACTACACTGATATGCCATTCTCATTAGGCATGTGCTAAACAGTTTACACAGGATTTTCCCTAAAACTATCAAAAAGGTTTTTTCAGAGATTACTGGACACCAATCAAGAGTAGAATTACTAGGACGGGTATTCAGAAATGTCTCAGCTACTCCATTTTCTTTCTACTTCCCCACACACACCTTTTTGGGTTTTTGTGTGGTTTCTTTGTTTTGGAGGTTTTTTTGGTTTGGTTTTATTCCCAGTTTTTTCCCTGCTTAAATAAGCCAAACAAGTCAGTCAACAGAGATTCTCTTCAACATTTTTGTCCCTGTTTGGAACAGGCAAGAACTTGTAGCAATTTCAGAGACCAACTTTTTTTTTTTTTCCAGGACATATTCATTATATTAGGGCAAGTACAAGAAAGCTGAATACACAGAAGCTTCATCCATTCTGCATGTGACATTAAGCTTATTTATTAATTACTCAGTTCACCCCTTTTTAGTGCCTATGAAAAATGGAAGACATGGATGTAACTCAGCTCAAATTCTGTCCTAGAGAGAAGAAATACAAAGCAGACTGAACAGGCAGGAAAACAGCCTCCATGAGTAGAGGGCTAAGTGCAAGACAGGAAAGATGACTGTGACTGAAACACAGCCACTTCGTGACAGTATGCTTTGAATACTATCCAACTTTATCACTGGTTAGGAATACTCAAGTCTGCATGACAGTCTTATAAAAAATACCCTTCTTGTGAAATCTGTGGTTTTTACAGCTTTAAAAATACGCAAGAAATTGCCTTTTTTCCACTGGGAACTTATACTGACAGCCACCCCACTGCTGCCAGAACTGTATTCACATTTACTTAGTATCTTCAGGCAGGCTGCTGAGGACTTCAGATCTCTGCTTTCCTTTCAGATATTTTTAACCATATGTTCCTAAGCCACCCTCTAGACTGAGACCAACATTTTGTTCACTTCCTTACCCTCCCCAAAAGTGCACTGTGACTGCACTTACTGTTTTTTTCAGCTACTCAGTTGAAAGTCTTTTGACTTTCTGTCTGCAGAAGACAATTCAGCTGACCATAACTTTCTGAATGAGTAGTCTAGAAAACAAAAGAGTGCTCTCTGGGACCTCTTAAAACAGATAGCTACAAAAAAAGAATGCAACAAAAAAGTCATAACATTCAAATACCAAACAGCTAGGAAAAAAAATGGTTAAAGTACCAGCTGGAAAGATGCTCTGAACTGTGAAAAAGGAAATTATTTTTCACTGTTTCTTTCACACTGTGTTCAGGGCAACAGAATTTTCTTTCTTTGAAATGATCAGGATTATGGGAAAGAAATATGATTCCATTATCAGTCTATTTGCCTCTTGGGAAGAACCCGTAAGTCTCTCTAACACTGAGTGTTTGGGTCAAAAGTATGAAGTTATTATATTCTCTAACATAGTATTGGTATCATAAGGAAGAATTTCAATTTCAGGATTATCTGTTTAGCAATATATCTTAATACTTGACATTATCATTGACTTCTCCTCCTAGGGCTTACCTTCTACATCAAAGCTAACAGACTTAATTGCATTCCACCATATTATACATTATTTTAAGGACTGAACTCAACTGAAACTGCCTCAGCTGTGTAGTTTCAGATACTTAGACACTTACTGGAAAAGATATTCCATTTTATCAGAGCTTTTCTCAAATTCCTTGAGTGGTACCCTCAGTTGGCAATAGTTCAATACCTCTAGAGCTGAGAAGTGAGAGGTAGCCAAAACTCCTGTTTTGAAGTATTCATACTTATTCCCTGACTTTGGAGGAATGGAGCTGCTGCCAGCTACTCGAGCTGCTTAGCTCTTCTTGGACTACTGGAAGCACATAAGAAAACTGTTTCTCACTCTTGAGTCTAAAAAAAACACCATAGAACTAGATGATACTAATATCCAGCAGCTCACTATCTCCAGCTGGCAGTGATACCACTGCTTCTTCCTTCTGCACCACTCCAACTGCTGTGCTCCTGTATCAGTCTTGAACCAGCCACGGCATTTGTTGGGCCTTCCATGTAAGAAAAGTTGAAGCATCAAGCTAGCAGAAAACTAGCTCCTATAAAGCAGGGGACTGGGATTGTTTTATCCTGGCTTATGGAATTTGGCTCCCAGAAATGTCTGACAGACACCAAAGCTGGCATGAGGGAAGGGCAGAACTGCAGAGGCAAGAAGAAGTGAGAAGGAAGGAGCAAAGAAGTGGATTGGAAAACCATCTTTCAAAGATAACAAAGGTTGAGCTTTGCTAGGTCTAGACCCTAAATCTATAGGGTTCACATTACCCTTTTGCTCCAACAACTTTTCCTAATCATCAGGAACAGTAGCCCTGTGTCCACTTACCTCATCCTTGCGTATCTGACAACCAAATAAAGTTAGTTAGCATGAAGGATTTTGCTCACATTTCTGGCAGTCA